GCCCAGTGTAGCAGCGGGACTCCCAGCCCCAGGCCAGTCCTGGATGGAACATGGCTGGGCAAGTGGGCAGTGGGAGCCCAAGGTGGGGGCCCCTCACCTGCAACAGTTGTTGTTCCCGCACATGAGCACCTCACGCCCCCCACAGCAGATGGTGCAGTAGGACTGGTAGCCGTCGTCGTCGTACTGGTATGCGCACTCCAGGAAGCAGTTCTGGAGGGCAGGTGGCAGTCAGACACTCCACAAGCCCCGGGAATCCTGACTCAGCCCTGGAGACATGACCCTGCCACCCATCCAACCAGGGTCTGGCCTAAACCACAGATCAGGGAAGGGGCCAGCAGGTGTCCTGGCCCCAGCAGTGGACAGTGGCAAGGAGGCCTGGGCAAAGGCTGGGGAGGGAGCGGCACCCTTTGCCCCTAGGTCTTCCCCTGGGTCCTGAGGGTGCAGCAACCCACCCGCCAGTAGGCTTGTCCTCCCCCCTTCACTAGTGCCTGGGGAGTGGAGTCCACGTCTGGGGACTGGGATGGGTGTTACAGGCGGAAGACTTTCAGGAGGAAAAATAATGGCAAGTCAACCCTTGAAGCCCAAAGGTCTGTTTATCATAACTTTCTGCTTCCACAGCTAACGCTGGGTCACAGTCAGGCCAGGGGTCAGGAGGTGGCATCCCCCACAGCCTTACCTTGCAGTTTTGGCACATTCCTCCGATGAAGAGAGGGTGTTCCAGGGTGACGTTGAGGCTCCCACAAGAGATGCAAATGTCTGGAAAGCAGAGAAAGCAAAGTGAGCAGCACTGCAGGGCCCCCTCTTGCCTCGGACAAGAGCCAGCTCCCGAAAAGCTAACAAAAAGGGGGTGTGCTGGAGCTGCCTCGGGCAACAGGGAGGCCCTGTGCCCCCCATTTCAGAAGCCCTGTCCTCTCTCAGAGCATCGATGCCACCTTCCAGGAGGGGCATCATACAGGGACAGGAACCGCCAAGGAGAACGGGGCCCTGCCCTGGGTATGGGGGTGGTCCTTGGCAGACCTTACGTCCTGGGCCCCTGCCCCATCCCCCCCAGGCCTGAGGCCCTGAGCCTGACACACCATCACTAGGCCAAGGGAGACAGAGGTGGGATGCGAATGACCGCTGGACGAGAGAAGGTGATGAGAGATGTAAGGCCAGAAGGTCAGGTTCAGGCAAATTCAATCGAATACAAGAGGGGTCCCCTCTGGGACCCACTGGAGTGTCCCAAATCCGAATCCCAGCCGACACCATCAACAGGTCAGTCAGATTCTGGCACCAGAAGACAGAGTGTGTGTGATGCAGGCTGGAGGTGGTGACACATGCAGGACTGACCCTGTGACCGAGTCCTGATGTCCCAGTCCAGCCTTTCTCAGCAGCCGCGCCTCTGCCCCAGGCAGCCCACTGGGAGCCAGCCCACCTGCCCGTCCCAGGGAGCCGCTGTCCAGTGCATTGGACTCACCCTGATGTCCCAGTCCAGCCTTTCTCAGCAGCCGTGCCTCTGCCCCAGGCAGCCCACCGGGAGCCAGCCCACCTGCCCGT